AAAAAAAAAAAAAATATATATATATATATATAGCCTTTATTACTGTCTCAAGCTCTCTGTTTAGCTGATATCAAAAATCTCCTCCCCATTCTGACTTCTTCTTCAATTATTTCCTTTCTGTCACTCCTCTATTCCTCCTTTCATTGTCATATTGGAGTTAATTCAAAATGATTTTACTCTTTTTGCAACTTTTCTACAAATATAAGAAAAAGACCTCTATCTGACCTAATTTTCACCAATTTCCTTTGCCTTCTAACTCTAGAGTGACAGTTTTGGCCTCTTCAATATTCCCTCCCCACACCTGAAGAAAGAACGTTGCTCTTTAATTTGTACTGTTTTATTTGAATGCAACCCACTTCCTCCCTCTGAGCCAATGAGTCATTTTCTCCTTTTAAAGTGAGTCTTAAAAATCTTCCATTTCTCTTCAGTTTAAAATTATTCACCTTCTGAAGTACTTCATGTCCTGTGTATGAAGGACATCCCATAAAACAGAAAAAGCTGCCTTAATGACTCAAGGACTTTACTACAGACAATGAGTAACATACCAAGACTACAATTTTGAGTTGAATGGACATTATTTTTCTTCTTTATGGAGACAAGGATTTTTTTTCTCTTTTGTTCACTGGTGAATTCCCAGAATCTTTTTATGGAGATTTGCAATAAATATTATCGAATGAGTAAATGATTGATTTCTCCTCCCCAATGTTTTAAATTGGTTATTAATAGGTTTGTATGGCTAATATTTTCATATTCGAATCTCTTATAACTAAGCAGAAAATATACATAAGAGTAGAAAAGTGACAGGTATATTAAATTGGAGAAGATGCAGTAATACTGCTAGGGTAAGATTAGAAAATGCCTTGAGAGAGACACATTCATTTCAGTACAATTTATAGACTTTATATTAGCATATAGAATATCTTCTACGATATATATATATATGTATATACATACACATATATTTACTTATTTATTTATTTATTTTTTGAGTTGGAGTCTCACTCTGTCGCCCAGACTGGATTGCAGTGGCCGCTCCCGGCCACCGCAGCCTCGACCTGCTGGGCTCTGGCGATCCTTCCGCCTCAGCCTTCCAAGTAGCTGGAACTACAGGCGCGTGCTACCACACCCGGCTAATTTTTTTATTTATTGTAGAGATGAGGTCTTGCCAAGTTGTCCAGGTGGGTGTCGAATCTGCGGGCTCAGGAAATCCACTCACTTCAGCCTCCCAAAGCGTGGGATTACAGGCTGAGCCACCGAGCCTGGCTAATATTTTTATTTATTGTAGAGACAGGGTCTCACCATGTTGCCCAGACTGGACTTGAACCTGTGGGCTCAGGCAATTCTCTTGCCTCTACCTCCTAAAGTGCTGGGATTACAGGTGTGAGCCACTGTGTCCAGCAATGGGTAAAATCTTATTGCAGAGCAAGATATTTATGCAATCTCAAAGTATCACTCCACAAATTACTTATTAATTACCAAAGGGAATTTTTGTAATTCTCTTTTACAACAGATAAATCTTGTGACTATTATCTTAATCATACGATCAAATTTAATATCACTAATAATGGGACAAACTGCCATCATGTGCCTCCTGATATGATATACTGAGAATGGTATAGTATATGTAGTTTTCTTGCCAAAAGTGTTAGAGATTTTAAATAATGAAAAAGATCAACTTCAAATTGAGGGACAGCAAGACAGTTGGCTTGTGCTCTTCAAAAATGTCAGTGTCAGTTTCACACAGTGGCTCAAACCTATAATCCCAGCACTTTGGGAGGCCAAGGCAAGAGGATTGTCTGAGTCCAGGGGTCCGAGACCAGCCTGAACAACTTTTTTTTCCCAGCATAATCATACACAGTGAACTCAGAGGCCAGTTTAGTGGGTGTGGCAAATATGATAGGTGGTACTTCTGTAGAAACCATGGGCTTTAATCCCTGCAGGCTATAAGCCTCAGAAACCCACGCTCCCACCAACTTCTGCATGAAATCACTAAACTTGTAGTACATGACGCCCAGAGTCCGACTTTCCACCCTGAAATTCTTTTTCTTCACACAGGAGTCTTTGCTCATAGGGTTTCTTATACATATCTCAAGTATATACTGTAGTAAGTCTGCTGTTTTTGTTTTTATGCTAATAGTTTATTCGTACAATACTAGCCATTCATGTATCTGGAATATATGTTTTTATTTCCTTGGGATCTATTTCTTTCTTTCTTTTCTTTTGACAGAAAAGCTCCCACAGTGAGAGGGGACCCAAGGAGTTTGCCCGGGATCTATTTTTTTTTTTTTTTTTTTGAGTTGGAGTCTCACTCTGTCACTCAGACTGGAGTGTAGTGGCCAGCGGTCACCGCAGCCTCGACCTGCTGGGTTCCGGCGATCCTTTCGCCTCAGCCTTCCAAGTAGCTGGAACTACAGGTGCGCGCTACCACGCCCGACTAATTTTTTTTTATTTATTGTAGAGATGAGGTCTCATCAGGTTGCCCAGGCGGGTCTCGAATTCACGGGCTCAGGCAATCCACTCACCTCGGCCTCCCAAAGTGCTGGGATTACAGGCTGAGCCACCGAGCCTGGCCTAATTTTTTGATTTATTGTAGAGATGAGGTCTCACCAAGTTGCCTAGGCTGGTCTCAGACCCCTGGACTTAGGCAATCCTCTAGTCTTAGTTTCCCAAGTGCTGGGATTACAGGTTTGAGCCACCAAACCCAGCAGATTTGTGATATTTTTGTGCCCATGTAAGAACTGATTATTTTGACATTCTTTTTTATGCTACACTCTAATTCTTGTGATATTAACCTCTGTGAAATACAAAAGCAGAACTTTGGGGCTTACGTCATAGTTGCTCCTGGATCAGCAGTCATCTGATTGGTCACAAAAACAGCCACATTATATTCTGCATCAAGAAATAAAATTAACTGTAGTTACTGCTGGGGCTGCTTGTGTCACTCCCTGTACAATCCCCTTTTGTAGGGCAGGAAAATAATGTATGTCTTTCATACACAACACTAATATCCACCAGTGCCATTACAGTTAGTAAAATACATGTTAGTTAGTGTCATCCACCAGTGCCATTACAGTTAGTAAAATACATGTTCATTTAAAGAAAAGAGACAAAATTAAGAAACATGTGAGAAGAGAAATATAAATATAAAAATTCCTTTGTTTAGATTTCAGAGTTTAGAAATATTATATTATAAAATTTTTTTTTTTTTGAGTTGGAGTCTCACTCCCTCACCCAGGCTGGAGTGCAGTGGCACACATGCTCACAGCCTCGATCTACTAGCCTCAGGCTATCCTTCCTCCTCAGCCTTCCAAGTAACTGAAAATACAGGTATGCGCCACCATGCCCAGCTAATTTTTTATTGTAGAGATGAGGTCTCACCAAGTGGCCCAGGCTGTTCTCAAACCCGTGGGCTCAGGCAATCTTCTCACCTCAGCCTCCCAAAGAGCTAGGATTATAGGTGTGAGCCACCGTGCCCAACCTGTGATTTTATTTATTTATTTATTTATTTATTTTCTGCTTCTCTTTCTCCTCCTCTGTAGCCCCTGACACACTGCTGCTACTCGAGTCATAATTTTATTTTTTAAAAGAGTAGGCCGGGCTTGGTAGCTTAGCCTGTAATCCCAGCACTTTAGGAGGCCGAGGCGAGTGGATTACCTGAGCCCCCAGGTTTGAGACCCACCCGGGAAACTGGGGGAGACCTCACATCTACAATAAATCAAAAATTAGCCGGGCATGGTAGCGTGCGCTTATAGTTCCAGCTACCTGGAAGTCTGAAGTGGAAGGATCGCCAGAATCCAGCAGGTCGAGGCTGTGGTGGCTGGTAGCATGCCACTGCACTACAGTCTGGGTGACAGAGTGAGGCTCCAACTCAAAAAAAAGAAAAAAAAGAGTATTGCCCCCTGACATTATTCTGAGTCTCTCTGTAAAGCATACTTAGCAAACATAGTCACAGATGCCATTCTGATGTTGCCAGTATATTTTAAAGATATACCTTCTGAGATTTTTTGAAGTCGTGACAACATCTGGGCTAGTTTTTGCTGCCGTTCAGCCAACTCTCCACGCCCACTGAAATCCACTCGAAAAAGTGCCATTATTGAATCAATGATCTGCACATAATAAACATAAAAATAAATACACATTTGGAAATGGAAGGAAGAAGTTAATCTGAATAGAGATCAGTAGAAGAAAATATATGTTAAATAGCTCTGTGGGAACATAATTAAAACTTGTACCAATAACTTGAAGATGCCAGCTTCTTCATGGAACTTTGCAGCTACATAATCAAGCAGCTCCATCTGATGTTCACCTGGTGGGAAATGCAGTAAGAAAATGTTAGAAAAGTTAGAAAAAACAGAGGCTAAGATTATTCATGTCCTTGGGGACCAGGTAAAAGATAGTCCTTGAAGGAGTCTCTGATTTATGATTTTATTAAATATGATTGCATATTCTGCTTTAGCATACGTTCCCAATGCTACATTATCCAAAAAATAATGTTACTCTGCATTTCAAAGACAAAGAATAAGAAATAATTTTTTTTTTGACCTGCTGGGCTTCGGGGATCCTTCCGCCTCAGCCTTCCAAGTAGCTGGAACTACAGGCTTGAGCTACCACACCCAGCTAATTTTTTTTTATTTATTGTAGAGATGAGGTCTCGCCAAGTTGTCCAGGTGGTCTCGAACCCGCGGGCTCAGGCAATCCACTCACCTCAGCCTCCCAAAGTGCGGGATTACAGGCTGAGCCACCGAGCCCGGCTAAGAAATAATTTAAGGGCATTTTATTTTATAAGGACTTACCAGACTTTATCTTTTATGGACTGACTAAATTAAGTTCAAGAAAAGTAAAATAAAGAAAAGAACAGTGTCAAAATGTATCTTCTGACTGGGTGCAGTGGCTCACATATGTAATCATAGCACTTTGGAAGGCTGAGACAGGCGGATTGCTTGAGTCCAGGAGTCTGAGACCAACCTGGGCAACACAGTGAAATCTCATCTCTATAAAAAGTCAGAAAGCTGGAAGGCTGAGGTGGAAGGATTGCCGGAGCCCAGCAGGTCGAGGCTGCGGTGGCCGGGAGCGGCAACTGCACTCCAGTCTGGGCGACAGAGTGAGACTCCAACTCAAAAAAAAAAAAAAAAGTCAGAAAGCTAGCTGGGCATGGTGGCATACACCTGTAGCCCTAGCTACTCAGGATGCTGAGGTGGAAAGATTGTCTGAGCCCAGGAGGTCGAGGCTGCCGTGAGCCATGATCATCATGATCATGCCACTGCGCTCCAGCCTGGGTGACAGAGTGACACCCCACTCAAAAAAAAAAAAAAAAAAAATATATATATATATATGTCTTTCAAATAGTAAATCAGTTGCCAATCTTACATTGACCCAAGCATCCAACCACATGGAGCTCTTACTAGTATATGCACGCGCATAAAGTACATTGTCCAGCACTGCATTATGATCTACATTGAAGCGATCAGCAATGTCCCGAAGGCGATCTGGACGACTGGAGTATGTCAAGATTAAGGATTCAATAAATCAATTCCAAAATAACTTTAGACAACTTCAAAACAAAGTATCTTAAGTAATCAAGTGAACAGAGGACAAATTCTGGAGGGTGCTAATAATTACTTAAAGTGTATACCAGATTTTATTTTTCACAAATGCCTCCACTTACTTTAGGTAGTGGTAATGGTCCTAGAAATAGTAAGGCAGTAATAAATTTAAATTATAAATTCTTAGGCCAGGGGCAGTGGCTCACCCCTATAATCACAGCACTTTGGGAGGCCGAGGTGAGAGGATTGCCTGAGCCCATGGGTTGGAGACTAGTCTGGACAACCTGGTGAGACCTCATGTCTACAATAAATAAAAAAAATTAGCTGAGCATGGTGGTGCGTGCCTGAAGTTCCAGCTACTTGGAAGGCTGAGACAGAAAGATTACCTGTTCCCAGCTGGTCAAGGCTGCATTGGCTGTGAGCGTGCCATTGCATTCCAGCATGAACAACAGAGACTCCAACTCAAAAAAAAAAAGAAAGGCTAAAATGAAATGCATGTTTATGGTCTCATTTCACTGTATTTATATTGTTTATATAGCACTGATCATACTATAGTTGTAAAGCAAGGATTATTTATAATCTTATTTGTAACACTTGCAAGTAATTCAATAAATGTTGAATTGAATTGTGTTTAGGATTTCCAAGTCATCTATATTGTAATGTATTATATATGTTCTTTAGAGCTTCAGCGACAGCGACTAAAATCTTTTACTGCTATTGAGTATACCTAGTAAATGTTTTTGTGGACAAGTCAAGGAAGACAGGGAATTGAAAATGGCAATAAAAATCTTTTTCACCATGTCAGTTTCTACAAAACCCTGACACCATGTGACCAGGGGTGTAAAATTGGGTTTACACTGAAGGGAAGTTCAAATCAATCTACAAATATTGTTAACTGATTACCACATGAAATTGATTACTATGCTAACCAATTACTAAGGCAAAGCATTATGGAGAATATAAAAAGTCATAAAACAATATATGCCATAAGTAAGTTTATTTTTTAATTTTTTTGTTTTTTTGAACTCTCTTTTTTTTTTTTTTGAGTTGGAGTCTCACTCAATCACCCAGACTGGAGTGCAGTGGCCGCTCCCGGCCACCACAGCCTTGACCTGTTGGGCTCTGGCGATCCTTCCACCTCAGCCTTCCAAGTAGCTGGAACTACAGGTGCATGCTACAAGTAAGTTTATTTAATTTATTTATTTGCTTATATATTTATTTGAGTCAGCGTCTTAGTCGCCCAGGCTGGAGCCACAGTGGCATGCTCATGGCCACCGCAGCCTCGACCTGCTGGGTTCAGGTGATCTTTCTGCCTCAGCCTTCCAAGTAGCTGGAATTACAGGCACGCACCACCACGTCTAACTAATTTTTTTAACTTAACATAGAGATGATGTCTCGCCATGTTGCTCAGGATGGTCTTGAACCTGTGGGCTCAGGCAATCCTCTCGCCTTGACCTCCCAAAGTGCTGGAATTACAGGCATGAGCCATCACCCTGGCCATGCCCTTGGCAAGTTTAACACATAATTAAGGAGATAAGATACGAACTTATAAAAAGAAGACTCAAGGGACATCACTATAAGTGCAAGAAACACCTAAAGAAAGAACATCTGAAGGTGGCCCTTGCCACAGTACCTCCTACCCCCACCCAGCTGTTCTCTCTTACATATGACTTAGCTCCTAACTTACCTCCTACCCCACTCAGCCTCTCCCTTACATATGACTTAGCTCCTAACTATTTCTCTGTATTGCTCTTGGTAAAATCCAAATTGCCCAAACTGTGGCTGCTCATCTGCAAGTATGACTTCTCCCTCTCAAAGAATCATCTTTCATAAACTATTTTTTTTTTTTTTGAGTTGGAGTCTTACTCCGTTGCAGTGGCACACTCACAGACACTCCAGCGTCTACTTGCTAGGCCCTGGCCATCCTTCCACCTTAGCCTTCCAAGTAGCCGGAACTACAGGCACATGCTACCATGCCTGGCCTTGCAAGGTCTCACCAAGTTGCCTGGGCTGCTCTCGAACCCATGGGCTCAGGCAATCCACTCGCCTTGGCCTCCCAAAGTGCTGGGATTATAGGCTGAGCCACCGAGCCCGGCCTCATCAACTATTTCTGAAACTAGCCAAATTCCAGTTGAGGCTCCTTGCTAAAGCACTATACAACACCCACCCTTCTTCCCTAAGTTAGAAGGCTCCATGAGAGTCTTCTTATGCCTAGCATTTCCGAATAAAGACTTCTGCAAGTTCTCTGGTCATTTTCTTTTACATGAGTATTTTAGAAGTACATTCTATAATAGATTGAGAAAGACAAAGTTTTCTAAATTGAGTAATTAGAGAAGATTAGAAAAAGCAAGCCTTGAAATGAGAGTCTTAAAGGATTAGTATGATTCAGAAAGATTGTGAGATGGCAATAGAGGGAGCAAATATCCCATAGGATAGAAATACAACATGCAAATTTCTCTATGACCAGCCAAAATAACATTCAAGAATGAAAACAAAGTAAAGGCATTTTCAGACATATTGGAGCCCAAAGTTTACCACTTGGATTGCCTTTCTGAAGGAAGTACTTGAGTTGGCATTACAGCAAAACAAACATACAGGAAAGAATAAGATTTGAGATTAAATAAATCATAACGAATAAACAAAAATCTTTTTTTGTTTTGTTTTGTTTTTGAGTCAGAGTCTCACTGTTACTCAGGCTGGAGTGCAGTGGCACGCTCACAGCCATCACAGCCTCGACCTACTGGGCTCAGGCAATCCTCCTGCCTCCTGCCTCAGCCTTGGCAAGACCTCATCTCTACGATAAATCAAAAAATTAACCGGGTGTGGTAGCGCGCGCCTGTAGTTCCAGCTACTCGGAAGGCTGAGATGGAAGGATCGCCGGAGCCCAGCAGGTCGAGGGTGCGGTGGCCAGGAGCGGCCATTGCACTCCAGTCTGAGCGACAGAGTGAGACTCCAACTCAAAAAAAAAAAAAAAAAAAAAAAAAAATTTCAGCTGGGCACAGTGGCTCATGCCTATAATCCCAACACTTTGGGAGGCCGAGGTGAGAGGATGGTCTGAGCCCACAGGTTCAAGACCCGACTGAGCAACTCGGCAATACCTCATCTCTACAATAAGTTAAAAAAAAATTAGCCTGGCATGGTGATGCGTTCCTGTAGTTCCAGCTATTGGAAGGCTGAGGTGGAAGGATCGCCTGAGCCCAGCAGGTTGAGGCTGAGGTGGCTGGGAGCATGTGCCACTGCCCTCCAGACTGGTGACAGAGTGAGACTCCAAAAAAAACCAAAAACAAATGTCTGGTTGGTCGCAGTGGTGCAAGATTGTAATCCCAGCATTTTGGGAGGCCGAGGTGAGGGGATTGCCTGAGCCCACGGTTTCGAGAACAACCTGGGCAACTTGGCGAGACCTCATCTCTACAATAAATCAAAAAATTAGTCGGGCCGGGCTCGGTGGCTCAGCCTGTAATCCCGCGCCTTTGGGAGGCTGAGGTGAGTAGATTGCCTGAGCCGGCGGGTTCGAGACCTGCCTGGGCAACGAGACCTCATCTCTACCATAAATCTAAAAATCAGCCGGGTGTGGTAGCGCATGCCTGTAATTCTGGCTACTCGGAAGGCTGAGGCAGAAGAATCGCCGGAGCCCAGCAGGTCGAGGCTGCGGTGGCCGGGAGTGGCCATTGCACTCCAGTCTGGGCAACTGAGTGAGACTCCAACTCAAAAAAAAAAAAAAAAAAAATTAGTCGGGCGTGGTAGCATGCACCTGTAGTTCCAGCTACTTGGAACACTGAGGCGGAAGGATTACGTGAGCCCAGGAAGTCAAAGCTGCGGTGGCTGTGAATGTGCCACTGCACTTGAGCTTGTGCAGTAGAGTGTGAATCCAACTAAAAAAAAAAAAAAAAAAAGAAGATTATTGACTCACTCAGAGTCATGGTCTCAAATAAAAGAAAGGTATGAAAGAAGCAAAAGCAAAGAAGGAAAAACGGGCAGAGCCTGTTTGGGTAATAGAAAGAATTGCAGTTTAATTAAAGCGTTAGATATTTCAGAATAGAAGTTCAGAAAGGTGGCTGGGTGTAGTGGCTGAAGCCTGTGATTCCAGCACTTTGGGAGGCTGAGACAAGAGTATTGTCTGAGCCCAGGGTTTGAGACCAGCCTGGGCAACTTGGTGAGACCTTGTCTTTACAATAAATCAAAAAATTAGCTGGGTGTGGTGGTACATGCCTGTAGTTCCAGCTACTTGGAAGGCTGAGGCAGAAGCATCACCTGAGCCCAGCAAGTCAAGGCCACAACGGCAGTGAGTGTGCCACTGCACTCCAGCCTGGGTGACAGTGAGACTCCAACTCAAAAAAAAAAAACAGAAAGAAAGAAAGAAAAGAAAGAAGAAAGATAACCGGGGTATTAGACATGAAGGGTTTTGCTAGGAAGTGATGAGAAATTGATTTAGTTGGAAGCAACAGGAATAAAAAGAAAAGTACAAGAAATACTAGAGAGGAAAATTGATAGGACTTGACCATATTTGGTAGACAAGGAAAGAGAGATTTGAAAAACCACTTTCAGGTTTTTTATCTAGATTCTGGGATAATAATGATGCTAATGATAGAACTGGGAAGATCATGTTTCAGAGAAAAGGTGATGTTTCATTTTAATGTGTTAGATGTGAGGTATAGGAGGATATCCGGATGGTAGTCAGAATTTTTAGATTCAGATTGGGAAAGAGGTAGGGCCAAAGATAAGGATGAAGTAACCAAGGAGGAAAGAGAACTTACAAAGAAATAAGAGAAGAGAACAAAGAATATAACTTTAGGGTGTGCCTATATTTAGGAAGAAGACTAAAATGAGGAACCCACAGAAATAGAGGAAGTAAAAGGAAATCCGGAAAAGTCAAGCAAAAGGAAAGTTTCAAGAAGAAAAGAATAGTCAGTAATGTTTCACACAGAGAAAGAGAGATTTTTCAGGGGCAGACTGAAATTTTTTGATTTATTGTAGAAACAAGGTTTCGGTTTCGCCAAGTTGCCCAGGCTGGTCTTGAACCTCTGGGCTCCAGCAAGCAACTCTCTTGCCTCAGTCTCCAAAAGTCCTGGGGATTACAGACATGAGCCAACACACTTGGTTTTTTTTTTTTTTTTTTTTTTTTTTTTTTTAGAGAGAGTCTCGGTCATGCGGGCTGTAGTGCAGTGGTGTGATCATAGCTCACTGCAACCTCAACCTCCTAGTTTAAGCGATCCACCTACCTTAGCCTACTGAGTAGCTGGGACTACAGGCAAGTGTCATCACGCCTGGCTAAATTTTAAGTTATTTTTGTAGAGATGGAGTCTTACTATATTGCCCAAATTTGAATTCCTGGCATCAAGTGATCCTCGTGCTTCAGCCTCCCAAAGCGCTGGAATTACAGAAGTGAGCCACTATGTCCAGCCAATAATCTTACTATTAGGCAACATCTTTGGAGAAGTAAGAGGATTAAAAATAAATAAAATATATCCTCTCATGTATTCATTTTGTTAGTTTTATAACAAACTCATGTGGAGAAGTGAAACTTTATTAAATAAAAAGTTATTTGAGAACTTGACCAGAAATTGTTTTCCCCGTAACTTTTCTCATTATTGCTAGTTTATAAAATGATTACAAAAATAATGTATTTTTAACTCTCTTTTGTAGTTACATTACTGTATCACATTACTATGTTAGCACTTAAGTAAAAGGGTTACAAAGTATTTTCTGTATCAATGAAGATAATCTTTCCTCCGGGGTAGCCACCAGCTCCTGGAAGTTGAGCTGTCACTAGGAAGCAATAAAAAAATTAATATTAATTAGGAATGCATAAACTTTGTACAAATGAATATATAAATAAACATGGGATTTATACTGATGGCAACTCTGTAGTAAATTTAGCAGAGTCATGATCCCTTAGTTTCTAAACATCATGTTATATTTTCACATTACTTAGCCAGTGATGAAATTAGAAGTATTCTGCTAGCATAGCCATAATTCAACAAAGAATTTCAATATTTCTCACAATGGGAGATAGTTATGAAGGTTAGTTCTCCCAAAGAATGGAGGTAGAATTTAAGATTGCTAACTTTCTTTCTATAAGAAATAATCAGCCGGGCTTGGTGGCTCAGCCTGTAATCCCGCTCTTTGGGAGGCTGAGGTGAGTGGATTGCCTGAGCCCGCGGGTTCGAGACCCGCCTGGGCAACTTGGCGAGACTTCATCTCTACAATAAAATTAAAAAAAAAATTAGCCAGGTGTGGTAGTTCCAGCTACTTGGAAGGCTGAGGCGGAAGGATTGCCGGAGTCCAGCAGGTGGAGGCTGTGGTGGCCGGGAGCGTGCCACTGCACTCCAGTCTGGGCAGAGTGAGACTCCAACTCAAAAAAAAAAAAAAAAAGAAAAGAAATAATCAAGGGGTAGGGAAAAGAAAAAAAGAAAATTTGTAATTATATTACAAATATAATTTATACTATCTAACTCATTTGTTTCCTTTCAATTAATGTAAGTGAAATTTAAAAAATGCATTTACTTTGTATGTAGAAGTATTATAATCGTTAACAGTAATGAGCTACTTTGTACCACGTACATGCATTATTTCATTTACTTTTCTTTTTCTTTTTTTTTTGAGTTGGAGTCCTCACTCTGTCGCCCAGACTGGAGTGCAGTGGCCGCTCCCTGCCACCGCAGCCTCGACCTGCTGGGCTCCGGCGATCCTTCCGCCTCAGCCTTCCAAGTAGCCGGAATTACAGGCATGCGCTACCACGCCTGGCTGATTTTTTTATTTATTGTAGAGATGAAGTCTCACCGCCCAGGTGGGTCTTGAACCAGTGGGCTCAGGCAATCCACTCACCTCAGCCTCAATTACTTTTCAAAACAATCCTAAGACTTGGCACTATCATTATTTCTATTTTATTGATGGGGAAAATTATAGAGGTGAAGTAACTTGCCCAAGGTCACACAGCTATTAATGGTAGAGCTAAGACTGGAGTCAGGCGTTTTGAGTCCAGAACACCCTTGTTAACCACTTTGCCAAGCTCCTTCTATTTCTTTTTTTTTTTTGAGTTGGAGTCTCACTCTGTCACCCGACTGGGGTGCAGTGGCCGCTCCCGGCCACCGCAACCTCGACCTGCTGGGCTCCAGCGATCCTTCTGCTTCAGCCTTCCGAGTAGCTGGAACTACAAGCGCGCGCTACCATGCCCAGCTAATTTTTGATTTATTGTAGAGATGAGATCTCACCAAGTTGGCCACGCGGGTCTCGAACCTGCGGGCTCAGGCAATCCACTCACCTCAGCCTCCCAAAGGTGCGGGATTACAGGCTTAGCCACTGAGCCCGGCTTGCTCCTTCTATTTCATTCAAATACATGCCCGATAGTATCTTTGTTGTTGTTCTTGTTTTTTTTTTTTTTTTTGAGTTGGAGTCTTACTCTGTCACCCAGGCTGGAGTGCAGTGGCATCCTCATCCACTGCAGTCTCAACCACTGGGCTCAGGTGATCCTTCTGCCTCAACCTTCCATGTAGCCGGAACTACAGGCACACACTACCACGCCCGGCTAATTTTTTGATTTGTTGTAGAGAAGAGGTCTCACCAAGTTGCCCAGGCTGGTCTTGAACTATGGGGCTCAGGCAAGCCTCTGGCCTCGGCCTCCCAAAGTACTGGAATTACAGGCATGAGCCACTGCGCCCAACCCCAATAGTATCTTTGTAAACAAGGAGGTATCTTTGCCTTTTTTTTTTTAAATGTGTTTTTAAGTATCTCTGAAGGCCAGCCTTATTTCATGGAAAGTAGGTCTAGGCCTCAATAGATTTTGTATCATTCTTGCAAAAAAAAAAATTTAGAAAAGATAGAATGGCAAAAATTGAGACAGTGGACCCCTTTTCTCACCAACACACTCATATACCCATTTACCTTCTCCCTCTTTCCATTTAGGTGTTCACAGTGCAGCATATACAGCATCAGCTCAACCATCACACATTCAAACACGAGCTATGTAACCATGAGTAATTTACTTAATATCCTTGAGTTTTAGCATCCTTGCAAATTTTCTCAGATTACAAGAGATTATTTAAAGTACCAGGCACATAGTAGATGTTTAGTAAGTAATAGCTATAATCATTCTTATTATTGTTGTTATGAATCCCTACCACAGAGGGTATGAGAGAGCTGGGTTTTTCCGGTACGAAATTCTGTGAAATAGAGAAAAGATAATAAAAAACATGCATAGTTAGATCTTTTCATAAGGAATAAAACATGGCCTCAGATATATTACTCTTTTCCAACTGTAAAATCACACTCATAAAGCACCTCGTGGGTCACAAATGAATTTTGTATGTGTGAATTCCAATAGTAAAAATAATTTTAATGTTTTTTTTTTTCAAAAAACTCTCCTTTAGATAAAAATTAATTTAAATCAAATCATCTTAGAAATAGTTATATAAGGCTGGGCTCGGTGGCTCAGCCTGTATTCCCAGCACTTTGGGAGGCTGAGGCAAGTGAATTGCCTGAGCCCACAGGTTCAAGACCCACCTGGGGCAACTTGGCAAGACCTCGTCTCTACAATAAATAAAAAATTAGCTGGGCATGGTAGCACATGCCTGTAGTTCCAATTACTTGGAAGGCTGGGGCGGAAGGATCACCAGAGTCCAGCAGGTTGACGCTGGGGTGGCCGTGAGTGTGCTACTGCACTACAGTCTGGACGACTGAGCGAGACTCCGACTCAAAAAAAAAAAAGAAAGAAATAGTTATATAAATGAAAGTTTAAGATCCTACTACAACCAGCCTGAGTAACTTGGCAAGACCTCATCTCTACAATAAATAAAATAATTTGCACGGCATGGTGGTGCATGCTTGTAGTTCCAGTTACTTGGAAGGCTGAGGTGGAAGGATCGCCTGAGCCCAGCAGCTGTGAGCATGCCACTACTGCACTCCAGCCTGGGTGACAGAGTGAGACTCCAGCTCAAAAAAACAAAAACAAACAAACAAACAAACAAAAACCCTACCACAGAAAGTTTGTGGCTTTCCTGATGAACTGAGGTCCTCAAGGGGAGCTGAAGTAGTCTCAAATTGGTGGCATCCCTTAGCTACCAATAGAAGCAAATTCTCTCTGGAGGAAAACTTTCCTACTTACCAATTTAGGTATACTGAACTCCCATATATTAAAATCAAGCAATAAGCTCACAAATACCAATAAATACACAAGAAGGTAAGCCACTAAGACTGAATCAACAGAAATGATGTAAACCAGTTTTAGTTCCCCAAGTCAACAGAAAAACAAACAAAAACAGATTTCCCCAAGAACTGCAAATATTGGAATAATGAGGAAAGAAAGAATTTAATCTTTGTGTTCTGGAACATTTATTGCCTAGAAATAAAGTCAGACTCATTATTCAGTTATACTGTTCAAAGGAATAAGGGGAAAACATTAAATTCCTTGTATAGGAATCACAAAAGGATGAAAAGTACCAATAAGACCCATCAGTTAATGTTTGTATATATTTTTATTGCAGTCCAAAATGATCCTGTATTACAATAATTGAGATTTCATCTTAAGTTCCAAGATAGATATAATTTACTGTTGTTTAATTATGTGTGTATATACATGTAGATATATGTATACAGATATATGTGTATTTTTCATATAACAAAATAGTGAGGTTCTACCTACCTCCAAAAGCTTCCGTGATTGCCATGCTTTCAATTCCACCCCCTAGCAACTTACTGGAAATAGAAAGAAAGCATTCATAACAGGAACAGAAATAGGGATATTAAAAAAGGAGAGTGTATTCATATTGCTAATATCTATTTCTCTGTCTTACCTATCATCTATCTACCTATCTGTACAACATGAACAGGAATTCTTTCTTAGCTGAACAGATGGCATTCCGCCTGCTCAGATCACAGGTTCTATTGTGCATGGGCAGGTAGGTTAGCAAAACAATTTATAAGCCCTGCTGTTCTTACCTGCAAGTATCAATAGTAAATGGGAAATACTGGGTGCTGTAGGCTTAAAAAATAATAATAGGCCGGGCGTGGTGGCTCATGCCTATAATCCCAGAACTTTGGGAGGCAGAGGTGAGAGGATTGCCTAATTCCAGGGGCTAGAGACCAGCCTGAGCAACTCATCTCTACAATAAATTTTTAAAAATTTGGCTAGGCTTGATGGCATGCGCCTGTAGTTCCAGCTACTTCAAAGGCTGAGGCTGAAGGTCGCCTGAGCCCTGAAGGTTGAGACTGTGGTGGCCATAAGCATGCCACTGCACTCCAGCCCAGGTGACAGAGTGAGACTCCAACTCAAAAATAAACATACAAGGCCAAGGTGAGTGGATTTCCTGAGCCCGTGGGTTCAAGACCAGCTCAGGCAACTTGGGAGACCTTGTCTCTACAATTAAAAAAAAAAATTGGCCGAGTGTGGTAGCACGGGCCTGTAGTTCTGGCTACTTGTAAGGCTGAGGTGGGTCACTGGAGCCCAGCAGGTCAACTCTGGGGTGGCTGTGAGTGTGCCACTGCATTCCAACCCTGGGTGACAGACTGAGAGTCCAACTCAAAAATAAATAAATAAACAAAAAACCTTGTATATAGTTTCTATTGGCATGACTTTTGGGATATGATTACTGATCAGACAAACCATTGAGAGACATGGATAAACCAGTAGGTTTAAGAGAGCAAGACAAAAGTAAATTGAAGCAATGTTGAAGTGGGGGCTGCAGGCTTCAATGAGGAAAAGAAAAATCTAGATACTGACCTGGATAACTTAAGTCTAAAGGATATGGGCTGAGAGATAATCCTATTTGGAGGGAAAACAGTTGGAGCTCCTATAGGCCTAGCAACTATTACAGGTAGTTTTACTTATCCTTCCTGATCTTGAGAAAAATCAGCCTGAAAAGCTACAGAACTGGAAAATTCCAGACAAAATTTCTTTTTTTTTTTTTTGAGTTGGAGTCTCACTTGGTCGCCCAGACTGGAGTGCAGTGGCCGCTCCCGGCCACCGCAGCCTCGCCTGCTGGGCTCTGGCGATCCTTCCACCTCAGCCTTCCAAATAGCTGGAATTACAGGCGCGCGCTACCACATCCAGCTGATTTTTTGATTTATTGTAGAGATGAGGTCTCACTGCCCAGGCGGGTCTCGAACCCGCGGGCTCAGGCAATCCACTCACCTCAGCCTCCCAAAGGCGCGGGATTACAGGCTAAGCCACCGAGCCCGGCTGACAAAATTTCTTATAGATATGCAGTCTCAATCAACTGAAAAGTGTAAACTAAAAATAAAATCCTAAGCACCTCAACCAACTGAATGGACCCCCTCTTGGCCAAGGGGACCCCAGAAAAACCCTAAAAACTAAATTCCTGGCCATGATAGGGAGGGAGGTTGGACACACCTTGTTATATTCCCTCCTTTTGGAGTTTGGGCACAACTGACCAGCATTAACATTAAAATAGAAATCATAAGACTGACAGAACAGACTCTGTGACAATAAGATACCAAATTATACATGAGATCCAAAGTCATGCAAGGCAAAGGTCAAGTCCTACAAACAGTTAAATAGATTTTCTTTTCTTCTGCCTCAGCCTTCCAAGTAGCTGGAACTGCAGGTGTGTGCCACCACACCCAACTTAAAAAAAAAAAATTAATCCAGTATAATGTGGCATACTTTTCAATCTGACTCTAGTATAGCATCACATGACAGATAGCAGACCTCTTTATATTAATTGAAGGGTTTTTTTGTACTGACTTCAACTCTTTTGATAACAAAACTTAATTCTTTTCTTTTCTTTCTTTTTTTTTTTTAGAAACAAGGTCTCCCTTCATTACCAAGGCTGGAATGCAGTGGTGCAATCATAACTCACTGCAACCTGGAACTTCTGGGCTCTAGTGATCCTCTCATCTCAGTCTTCTGAGTAGCTAGGACTTACAGGCATGTGCCACCAAGCCTGGCTAATTTTAAAATTTTTTGTAGAGATGGAGTCTCGCTATTTTGCCCAGGCTGGTCTTGAACTGCTAGCTTCAGATGATCCTCCTGCCCTAGTGCTGGGATTATAGATGTGAACATTGTGCCTGACCACAAAACTTAACTCTTTCAACCAGTAGCCAACTAAAGAATCCTTAAAACTCACCTATGACTTATAAACACCTGTTTAGAGATGTCTTGCCTTTTTAGGCTAACTGATGTATACTTTCCATGTAAAGATTTATAATTTTACCAACAATTCTTGTGTCCCTAAATTATAAAACCAAACTGTAACCTGACCGCCTTGGTAAGCCACTGTGTCCAGTCAAAACTTGCTAGCTTTATAAATGGACTTAAAACTTAAGGAAAAATGTGTAACAGTTTAGTGAGTTAAATATTAATTTTTTTTTTGAGTTGTAGTCTCACTCTGTCACCCAGGCTAGAGTGCAGTGGCATGCTCACAGCCACCACAGCCTCAACCTCCTGGATTCAGGCAGTTCTTCTACCTCAGCTTTCCAAGTAGCTGGAACTACAGGCACGCACCACTGCACCTGCCTAATTTTTTGATTTATTGTAGAGATGAGGTCTCGCCAAGTTGTCCAGGCTGATCTCGAACTCATGATCTCAGGCAATCCTCTTATCTCGGCCTCGTAAAGTGCTGGGATTATAGGCGTGAGTCACCATGCCTGGCCTAAATATTAAGTTTTAAAAATCCACAGGGACCGGGCTCGGTGGCTCAGCCTGTAATCTCGCGCCTTTGGGAGGCTGAGGTGAGTGGATTGCCTGAGCCCGCGGGTTCGAGACA